ATTTGCACAGTCCCATTATGGCTTTATGTTTAACAAGCAGGCCTTCACCCTCTACCTTCTCTGACTTTAAGCATTAAAGTAAAACCCTGGCTTTGGACGTGAAGATCAAATGTAATTTTCTGCTATTTTGCTTAATCTGTTTTGCAGGAGCTGAAAATATTCAGTTACAATTTGCTTTATAGCATTCTTTGTAATTGGGGGACTGAAAAAAAATCGACATAAATTCCTGTCATCAACACAAAATATGTAGAATAGCACTGCAAAGACTCTTTGTCAATATTCATGTTTTGCTTTACATATAATTTTATTAAACTTATACTTCAGAATAAGATTTATGTAGCAGCCTTTAAGTTCAATTACAGCAATTGTTTTTCAGCAGGATAAATTTTCTGTAGGATTAGACAATCCACATGCATGTGCAGTATTCTCATGGCTGGTTTCATCTTGAGAAGATCTGGAATGGCTGCATCTTTATTGAGATGATGAGAAACTTAATCTTTTCAAGACAAGGAATTCAGCTGAAGCATCAAATTCCAAAATGACTCTACAAAAATCTGAGGAAGGTCATTTAGACCAAATAATGTGCAAATATTATGGTCCAGTGTGTTCTTTGAAATGCTGTATTATTTATAGGTTGGATTAATATCAGCACTTCAAAAATCCACAAGTCTTTTTGAGAATGTTACAGTAAAGCAAGGGAGTCATGGGCAAGGAAGAAGAGAGGGATATGATCTGAGCAGCTAAAAAAGGATGGGCAGTGTCATTCTTCTGGGACAATTCTTGAAAGCAGCCAATCAATAGGAACAGAGAGTGTGCTTTGGCGAATCTTTGCAGAGAAAGATTTAAGGTTTGTAGAGGGGCAAAGCAGTTAATTTTTTGGTAAAAACTATCCATGTGAGCTTCCATTTCCTTTCACTTAGTTTTCAGCTAAATAAACATCTGTCTTCTGTGCCTCTGTGATGCTTACAAGCACAAGAGCATCCTTCTTCCAGAAGATAGGAAGAGGATTACACACTGAAATATTTCCTGAGCTTCTTGAGCATATGTCCTTTGTCTGTCTCCACTGCACCTCCTTCCATTTTAGACGTTCATTGGTCACTCACAGTGAGCTAGTCCAGTGACTGACAGAGAACTTTGGGAATAAATACTCTGTTGCTGTCTGCAGAACTTGATGGGATTGTTGCAGAGATCCCAAGGCCAAATGGTGGAACAGAGAAGACAGATGGGAATTGCCATGATGACAAGGAGCTGGTGCTTGCTTCAAGGTTTTAAGGAGAAGGCTATAGCAGAGTTGTTTCTCTGGGTGCTGGCATCAAGCCAGGGGAATAGTCAGTGAAATCCAGGAATGGACCAAAATAGGCATGGAAAAAAGCTGTCTCTAAAAATTTAGATTATACCTCTAAGAATTTTTATCACAAAGATGCTCATGTTGTTGTTTCTCATGCCTATTTTTACCAAATCTTCTTTCACAGGCTCAGGTGATTTGTGGCTAAGAACCCATGTGCTCTGGAACACATTTAATGCTCCATTAGATATAGCACAAATCATATATACAACATACAGCTGGATTAATTATGTTTGCTAGTTTCTGCCAAAAGCTGCTCTGGGGTAAAAGGATTGCTTGGTTTTGTTTTTGTTTTTGTTTTTTTTTTTAATGTTTCAAGGATGGAAGGATGGAAGGAAGGATTTATCTAACTGGTTTTCAAGCTGCCCATAGTTTTATAGATTATGAGATCCTGGCACTGGCTCTCAGTGAGCTCCCAGCTGGAATGGGGCTTTAGTAAGAGTTGCAAAGCTTGTCTAAAGGCTTCCGTTATAATTCTTTATCAGCTGTAACTTTTCTCTAAAAAATCCTTTTTCTGTTTCTCTGATTGTGCTTCATTTCTTCTGTATTTTGCTTTTTCTTCCTGAATTTCTCAGCCTCCTTTGGACTGAATTCTTTTGCGATCCTCCCTCGTGGGGAGCCCTGCTTATCTCAGTTCTTATGATTAGAAGAAAACTCCCGAGCTCGTTAGAATCTTGTTTCTCGTGTTTATTAGAAGGTCATCACAAAACTTGACAGGTCTCTCTAGGCTGGCTGCACAAGGTTGTATCTTTGCAATCTGGTACATTTCTTTCTTCTGATGGTACAACAAGGCCTTGTGGCACACTTCGTGTCTGATGCACAAAATGGTCCTGAAATATGCAGTTCTTTTATCTTTATACTTATTTTTACCCAATTAACAATAGACACGTATATTATTTTTCTTAATGACCCAATGACCCTCTGTGCTGCACTGTGGCATTTTCTGTCCAATCATTTACTGCTACCCAAAAACATCTAGGAGAAGAACATGAAGAAGAAAGAAGAAGGGACAAGAGACAACATCCTAAATCTTCCATCTTGTCTCTTGTTCTCTAAATTAACTTTTTCTCTTAGTGATTTAGGAAAACTCTCTAATCTACACACTTACACTTTTAGTTTTTTCTAACTAACTTTAACATTTGTTCTCGTGTATCACCATGAAAACATACTCATGAATTTCATGTTATGTGAAATTCAGTGTTTTTCTGGATCTTATAACTAAGTATCAGAAACAAGGGCACACACTCTGTGTCTCAGACTCTAACAATCAGCCATTTCTTAAACCTCTTCAACAAAGAGATTTTTGTTTTTATGTTTTCCTTTTTGTTTAGCTTTTCTTACATTTGGGAGCTCTTTCTCACAAAAGGAGAAGTTCTCTTCTAGCTGTTGTGGGTTTTGCAGAAAACACTTTCATTTGGGATGCCAAGAAACTGGAAAGCAATTAATTGCCTAAATTTCTGTGCTCTTGTAGATTTTATTCTGATACTTTCAACTAAGGCCCTGAGACGTGGTAAGGTGTTGCACTTACAGAACTGTGTGTCCATAAATGGCAAACCCAAAGCAGAGTCAATAGGAATGGGCACCTTCAACAAAAGACTTCTCTGGTACAGTTAATCCCCCAGACCCAGAATGGAATGGAAAAAAATAAGAATTGTTTTACTGTGTGAGACCGAGTATTTACTAAACCCTGCCATTCATTAGCCTATCTCCAAAAGAGAGAAACAATGGATAGCAACAAACTGAAGAGCAAGACAAGCATGAAGGGCTGCTATCCTGTGTTTTTTCCTTCATTCAATGGTTTGTAGGTCACACATCTCTTCAGTCAGGTAGGATTTTTTTTGTTTAAAGAAAAAAATCAGCAGAGTTGTTTTAAAAATTGTGTGAAGCCTCCATGCATATAAAAAAACATTCAAGAACTGATCTTTGCTGAGGAAAAAAACTGAAAATGGGTGAAAATAACTTTGAGGAAACATGTGCTGTTCAATCCATGATGCTGGCCTGTACAGCCGGCCACGGATTTTTAACATGGCCTGACTTTTTGAAACCAAAAGACAATTCCAGAAAGAACTGAAGCTCATGAGATTTTCAAAAAACAAGTAACAAAGAAACTGGAGCCTGACTGTCACTTGAGGTTGTCAGAGCCTGACAGATGAGGAAGCTGTGGGTCTGGGGATCTCAACCCCCAAAACACTGCTCCAAGGCACTATGCACTTCTAGGACCAACAGCTCCAGGGTAGATCCATTTTGTGAAGGAATTCCTCAATATTAAAATGAGGTATCCTGAAGTCTGACTTCAGAGACGTCCAGGTCAAAAGTCATATATTGAATTGCAGCTCCCACTGGTTTCCAGATAAAATAAAAGCCTTCCTTCCTGTATGTGCAGTTCCCTTTATGCACAAGCTGCTCTAAGTGTAAGCTTTTCACCGTGACTTTTTTGCATCTTGTGTTGTGGTATCCTGTGCCTGTCAGGTGCAACAAAAATAAGCAACCAGTATCTGTGAAGTTAAACATTAAAATCAAGGTTTTCAGGACCTGAAAACACACTTGAGCATGACAAAGGAGAGAAGGGTTGGAGGAAATGTGCAGAAAGACTCTGAGAGGAGGAGAGAAGAAAGATTAAAAAACTTCTCATCCTTGTCAATTATTCCACCTGAGTGAACAACTTGATATGTAATAATTACAGTGTAATATAACAAAATGATCAGCCACAGCATTAGAGATTAAAAGGTTACTTTATTTTGTATAATATATAATGCACTGCTGCTGTGGAGATGGGGCACATTGTCACTAGTTACTAATACAGCAGATAATATATTATTTCAAGTGGATTCTGTCCAGTTGTGCGTAGCATGCATTGTTCTGTGTGAGATGAGGTGGGTTGCCATTGCAAATTTAAGTAACTTCTAGTGTCAAAAATAACACTAAACTTCTGGTCACCATTTATCTTTAATTTTGCCTTGTCTGTCAGATATTGGCCTCCTGGCCCTGGAGATCATTGAAAAACACCTTTTATGCTGATTGTCAGAACAACTGACTCAGCCATTGTAAGAGTGTTTGCCCTTTACCTCACATTCACAGCAGCGTCTTTGCAGAGCAAAGGCACTGCTGCCTAGCAACTTCTGGGTTCTGGTTTAGGTACTTACAGACTTGAACAATTTATTTCAAATTAGCTCATAAAACTGCAAGAACTAAGAACTTTAATGGAATCATATTTCTCTATAGTTTTTTGCTTCTTAATTCAAATATTCCTTTCACAAGCCAAATAATATATGAAGCAAGATTTTCAAATGTGCTCACATTTGTCAAACTCAGTTACAGTGGTTAGCAAGGGACTCCAACATTTATAGATTTATTCAGACCCCTGTCTCTGTGAGACTGACCTAATGGAAATCTCACAAATGCCTTCTGGAAGTCAGACCTGGAAAGGTGAAGTCATTTCCCAAAGGAATCGTGGTCTGCATTGGCCTTGGATGGGAAATGGGAAATGAAGAGAGAGATGAAGTTCACAATTTATTCTGAAATGTTCATTTAGTCTTTAGTCTGCAGCCCAAGGTTCCCTTAAGGCTGCAAGGGTCAAGTCAGTTCCATCATGGCCTCTTGCTGGGCTGAGGAGAATCCAGGGACCTGGGGGCCTTCCTCTTTTGGGCACACCAGGTCACCCGTCAGTCCCTGCCCTACTGGGAGCAGAAGGGCTGCAGCTGCTACCCTGTGAAGAGTGACCAGCCACTGCTGGCTGCTCCGGCTCCTTCTGTGGCTGATCCCGCTCTGTGGGGTTGCGCACAGGTGGGGGGTGGCTGGGAACCCCATGGTAAGTGACCTCTGAGGTACCAGTTTCTTCCTCCACATTGGAGCCACTGGTAGGAGTGCTCTCCTGGGAACTGCTGGAGCTGAAACTGCTGGACTTGGATCTGCTGGAGCTGGTGCTCTCTGCTTGACTGGTGTCCTCATCCCCAGCAGTATGGGAATGCAGAAGCCTCTGGGCCTCCTCGCTGCACTGGGCTGCAACAACCTCGATGAGGCCATGGATCAGCGGTGCTGTGTGCCCCTCAAGGGAAACCAGCAGCCTCTGGGCCAAGGCCTCTGTATCCAGACCACAGCTGCAGAGGTAGCGCAGGATGCAGCTCTCTGCAGCCTCAACTAGCCACCACCAGCCCCGGCATATTCGCTCCAGCCTCTCACAGAGCCAGGGCCGCACAGGCTCCAGGAGATGCTGGTTTTGTTGGAATAGTCCAGCCCACTCCTCAGGCAGGAGGCCACCCACACGCTCTGGCCCTGCAGGCCCCTGCTCATCTGGGGACAGTGTTCCCTGTGGAGAAGACGGAGGGGACACCTCAGGGCCATGCATACTGGTTTCCTCCACGTGATTGGGAGTTCTCCCTGCCATGCTATGGGCTTCTGGCGATGCTGCAGGGGAGGTGATGACCAGCTCTACATAGTCCCATTCATCCTGCTCAGAAAACCTGATGGTCTCTATCGGTGTCCTGCAGAGTGGGCATGAGGGATTTCTGTGTGTCCACCGCAGGATGCAGCCCAGGCAGAACTGGTGGTGACAGGGCAGAGCAGAAGCCACATCTTTCCAGGAGTCCTGGCAGATGGGACAGTTGCTGTCTCTCTCGGTGGCCATTTCTGTCTCAAGCCAGACTGGCCCAGGCTCTGCTGACATCCAGATATAAGCAGTGAGATGTCACAATAAATCCCCTGGAGATGTCACAATCTGACACTCAGTGATGTTACTATCCATGAGTCAGTGAAATCACAATGAGATGTCCACCTCTGCAGACACACAGGAGAAAATGAAAATACCAATTTTTTTTTTCAGTCTCTACACCTTCATGTTGCTCTACCTGAGCCACCAGCATCCCATGTCCTTGGCCTTGTGTCTCATCCCCACTCCTGACACCTTGCCAAGGTTTCCTGGGAGGTGGTGGTGCCACTCTGCAAGGGTAGATCTGTCTTTTCTCACTGTGCTCCCAAATCCACTCATCTGCAGTGTGGAGGGAGTTACAAATCTGTGCAGCCAGGCTCCCAGCAGGGTCCTCTCTGCCTTCCTGGTTTGCTGGGTTTTCCCACAGCTCATAGGAACTGACCAAGTGAGTGACAACTGGAAGCCTGGCTTGGGGGGAAGGGAGTGTTTTAAGCAACAGGAGAGGTTCTCTACTTCTCCATCCTTCTTCTTAAAATTTTCTCTGACATCTTCTCAGGAGAAAGCCCTGGGCACATCACAGCAGTCTGAACAACCCCACCCTCCTCAGCTCTAAGTACCTGATTTCTGCCCGTGCTGGCCAAGCATGTTTTTTTGAGCTGAAAATTCCAAATCAGAGCTCCTGCTAATCTGGAGAAGGAGCTTATTATCTCAGGTTCTGCAGCACTGATGTGGTCAGTCTGAACATTGCCTCTACTACTTCTCTGCACTGACCCCACACAGTGCCAAGGGCAGCACTGAAAGTGTCACCTGGCCTATCCTGGATCATTCTCATTTCTAAGGGCAAGAACTTTTAAGGATCCCTAAAGAGATCTGACTCTTTAGGGGAGAAAAAAAAAAAAATACTCAACCATTTCTATCCTTGTCAGGGAATTGTCTGAGCATCCTTGTAGATGAGGATCTTGACTGCCAGACCCTGGGTTGTCCTGTCCAATCACCTTTTGATTACAAGCAGGATGGGATGCATTTTTCTGGGGAAATTTGCATTTCCAGTAAGATATTATTTACTGAGCCCCGTAACCCTTGGTTCTTCGATTTGTGTCTGTCAGATTTACATCTACATCAGGTGAGGCTACTCCCTTTCAGCTTTCCTTCTCTATGTGTGATTCTTCACAAATTTGAAAATTCAGTTTGTAGAGAATTTTGAAGCATAGATCAGGCTGGAATAGAATCAAATTGTCAAAGACCTCTAAGACTATCAAGTCCAAGCATTAACCCAACAGTGCCAAGCCCACGACCAAAACACATTCCCAAATGCCACACTTACACACCTTTAAATCCTTCTAGGGATTCTATCCTTCTATCACTGCCTTGGGCACCCTGTGACAGGGTGAAGAAATTTTCCTGCTTTTTCTCTGGTGTTGGGAGGACATAATAGCAGTGAGTGTCAAGGAAGTTTCTCAGTGGGGACAGGAATTAAAACAGCACTTGCATTTCAGGATATGTTGATGGTTTACTTTATTATTCATACTAGTAAAAAACTGTTATTCCTAAGAGCCCCTTAATTTCAAAATTATAATAACTCAAAAGGAAGGAGTTTGCATTCTCCATTCCAAAAAAGGCTCCTGCCTTCCCTAGCAAACACCTGTCCTTCAAATCAAGATAGGATACAATCACAATCCCACAAAATCACTGGAAAAGGATGTTTAGATAGAAAGTACTTGACACGTGTCAGTCAAAACACTGCAGTAGAGTTCCTGTTACAGACTGTTATTTACAAGATAACAGAGCCCATGACAAGAAGCATCATGTTGAAATGAAGTGCTTCCATGCCAGAATTTGTTTCTGGAAAACACCTTCCTGCAGATTATGATACTCACATGTAAAAGCAATTGAATCCCAAAATCTGCCCTTAGTTATACTGTAAAACCTCAAAAGCTGAAGGTTAAGCCCAGAGGCTGCCAAGAGCCCTACGCTCACTGCAGTCAGCAGGAGAGGGAAACAGTTGTGAGTGTCATGGGGGTTCTGAAGACATTCTGGCAAAATTTTAACAAAAAATTTCACTGCAAGTACTGGTCACTTGGGGATAAACATGCTTTTTCTCCTCCTTTTGGGGATCTTTAGATTATGTACTTAATTATTCTCATTTGGGGATGAGAAGAATTTGCCTAAAGTACGTATGAGAACAGAAGGATGTGAGGAATTTTCTTTCAATCCCATTATATGTGCTTATGCTCACTGATCTAAAACAAAATGAAACTTTCATCTTTTATTGCCATGTGTCACTTGTTCACAGTTCTGATGTTTCATGGTGTTGATTGTAATCATGCTGCTGCTTTTGTGGGAGCTCAGGGGAAATTAGATGCTTGTTAGAGTACCTGGCACTGCTACCAGCCTTGGAGCAGCATGGCACTGAATATTTCACTGTAAGTGAATACTTGTAGTGTCTGCAACTCATATTGTATCTGCTGATAGCAGGCAAGCCTAAAACAATGAAGCGGGAACAGATGCAGAAATCTCTTCCTGCGGTGGTGAAAGTGGAGATGCTTTCTGGTTACACGGGATAAGTAGATTTTACTCTCTCAGAAAGCCTCCACCTTACGTGAGATCCCTCTTCTCATTAAAGGGTTAATGTTCATCTGTAAGCAAAAAACACATCTGCTCTACTGGTTAGAGGCAGCTATGAAATAAAAACTCATGCTGGTTAAAATCCTTTCCAGCTCCCATTATTATATGTCCTACACATCCTATGCAATGATTTCTACAGTAGAGAGACTGTAAACCCCTGGTGGCACATCTGCTCTTTTTCCCCACCAGTGTTGACAGGATTTGGCCAAAATCCCCTCCCCCCCTTTTTTTAATCTTTAATTTCATTAGAGCTGAGATGAGCACAGCATGTGTAAAGAAATTAATTCAAAATTCAGAATAGTCTGCTTGAGAATAGAGCCAAAATCTTCATTGAGTTGGATTATTTTCCACATCCTTTTTAGACACAGAAGTTTTAGTTCCTACAAAATAAAGCATTGTCTACCCCAGAGTCACACTCTGTCAGCAGAGAACATCAACAAAATGCTTCTGGAAAGATGAAAAAAAAACCAACTTGTAATAGAAAACTGCTGCTTAACTTTGGGTTGAGTTTTGCTGTAGGTCACATGAGATCTTTCTGCAGGGTGCCCTGACTCTTCCTCTGACTCTGATAATATCTGGTGGAATACATTTTTGTGGATGCTAGCTTTGGAGCAGGCTGAAGGCCCCATGGCCTCTCAGTCCTGCCTGAGAAGCTAGCCTGAGAAATTCACAGGAGGATTTCAAAACAATCCTCAGAAACAGAAAACAACTGCCAGGTGTTGTTTGTCTGTCCTCTTGTTTTCCTTGCAGGAGAAAGTCAGGGGGTGGTGAACCCCACTGACCAATGATGGTGATGTGGTGATTTACTAACCAATAAGAGTTTCCTTTCTGTACTTTCCACGTATCGGTCTATAAAGAGACCTGGAGTAATAAACTAGAAGATATTCTCCTGTTGTGACTCCCTTGAGAGTCTGTGTCGTTCTTTCCCGCTGTTCCTAATTAGAACGACACATTTTCAGCTGGTGAAGATGATACACTGACCAATCCCTCTGAGCAGGCCTGAGTGGTGGCATCTGACTTTCCATGCTGGATTTCCATAGGGGAGCTGGTTTGCAGTCCTTTCTGATCACAGAAGCAGATGGTTGGTCCAGCAACCAAGAGGAAATCTGACTGTCTCTGCAGCCATTTGCAATCTTGGGAAAGTAAATGATCATTTAAGCAAACTACTAATGCATGGTAGCCTGGAAAAATACATGGGTGTGCAAAAAGAATGGAGTGGCAGTACCCAGCTGTAACCAGAATTTTGATACTTAAACTGGTGGTTGGTGTGGGATTATGATGACTTTCTTCCCTGTGAATAAACCACTTTTGCTGCTGTTAAGTAAAACTGCTGAAGACATATGAGCCAGGGACATAAAGCAAGATTACAGAAACACAGATTGTGTGATAAAAGATTCTCAAGAACTGCAATAGGCTTTTGTAGTCTAAATGAGTATAATTTCTCCACGATCAAATTTTGTAACTGGTCACATAAACTGCTCAAATTGTTTTTCTTTCCTCTGGAAGTTGGATCTTTTAAGCCACTTATGGTGCAGCTTTCTCCACATTCTGTGTAATACCACAGCAGTCTTATTTGGAGTTGAAATCTACGCAAGTTAAAATTTTCACATTTGTTTTCATTTCTTTAAGAACAACAACAACAAAAAAGTCTTTGTGGCTAATTATTTAGGAACAACAAACTCAAATTCATATACTTCAGGATTTATTTTTACATACTGAAGATAAATGCTCCTACATTGTCTGATTAATTCTTAGCATAATTTGCTAAGCTTTTTTTCTTTGTTTGCAAGCAAACATACCTTTCTCTTTTGGTTATAGGTGGTCTTGGGGAGATATTACCTTAAACTAGTAAGATATTGCCTTGAACTGTAGCATGACCTGTGATAGTTTTAATTTCTCAAGTTTAATGATTTCTTGGAGGACTATTCGCATTGTCAGTGTATTTGACAACTACCTGATCAAGACATAAATAAATACAGCTTTCCCTAACACTGAATCTTACAATGTGATTGATATTCACCCAAGCTGAAGAAAGAGTTTAATGCATTTAACAGACATTTATTCACACAAATGCACTGATCTGCCTTGTAAATGAGGAAGGATATTTGAGCCATCTCATAGGCTCAATGGCAGTGCCAGTCAGACTGGGATGATTAGGAAAATGTGCCTGTCATTTGACCTGTGGCTCATTGTGCTCTGAGGGGACATTCCAGCGTCTGTTCTGTAGTGTAACCATTTGTTGAGATGAAATACAAGGGATGGGATACCATGCTTTGAGATGATTTATTGCTCAAGTAGCCTGATAAGATACCAGCCTCGAGGCATGAGATTTGTAGGAGCAACAAGTCAACCAT